CGCTGGCCTCCCTCACAGAGTAGGCTGTGCACAGCCCGGCAAAGCGCCAGCTGGGGCGCTCCCAGTGGCTCCTGCATGCTCACCAAGGGGAGAAGTTCTGCCATCAGGACCTGGGGGGAGATGTAGGGTCAAGGTTGCAGGGAGGCCTTATCCCAGACAGCAGCCCAGGGCCCCCACAGGAGGGCCCAGGGGATAGAGTATTTCCAGGACAGGCTTTGAGGCACCATGATCCAGCCCCTCCCTCCTCTAAACGCTCCATTCTCTCTCCTGCTGCCCCGGTGCTGGCAAATGCACAGGTGCAGAGGCTCTCGTCAAGAGCACAGATAGGCTGTTGAGCCCTTACAAGGCTTCAGATCTGGAATCCTCCCCATGACTCAGGCTCCCCTGGCACCCAGACACCTACTCCCTAATCCTCACTCAGGAAGTACCTTTTCCAGGTGGATTTGCTGGTCCAGCATGTCCACCCGAAGCCTGAGGGCTGCCAGGGTTTGCAGCTCCTGCGTGCTGGAGTAGAGAAGCAGCTGGGGGCTCCAGGTGGGATCTGCTCCTCCTCCGCAAGGCAATGAGGCCATGGGGGGCCTCTCCTCAGGCCACGGCCCCAGCTGCTGTTCCACCACTTCTGTGAGGACGGTGGAATGTGGCCTCCTGGGGTGACAGCCAGGCACCTCTTTGCCACTCTCCTCTAAGGGGGAGCAAAGTTGCAAAGTCTCCATTTGCCTCCGAGACAAAGCCCTATTGTTCATAATCATCTCTTACAAGGCTAGGCCAGTCACCTACCAGTACCTCTGATTCTCACATGCTACTTTTTCAATGATTGGACAAATAAGTAAACTACTTAAAAGTGATAGGGCTCTGTGTGTTGGGAGAAGGAATGGGGGTGGAGGAGCTGTTCCAACTGGTCCCATAGGACAACTGGGGAGAACTCAGAATGCAATGGAGTGACTTGGGGAAGGGCCTGTCTGCCTCTACTCTTGGGTTATCCTGTGGCTAGAGAACCTTGACCTCCCCTACCAGACTTCAGCACAGATAGCAGTGGGGTCTCACCTGCCTGCAGTTCCCGCAGCCTGTGGAGGCACTGCCCCACAATGGCCTGTAGCCCTTCCAAGGTGAGCAGGCCACGGTATTCCTGCATCCAGTCCGTGGGGTCTACGAAAGAGTCAGGGAGGGCAGGCTGGGTCCATGCTGGTCCTGCAGCACCCCCAACCCCAACCCCTTACAAAAACCTGTATCAGGGCTCACTGACCTCTTGTGAGCTCTTCCTCCATTCTCAGTCTTAGCAGCGAGCAAGCCTTCTGCAGGCGCCCTACCTCTGCCTCCACCTCTGCAGCACTGAGCCTGGAGCTAGGCCAGCCTGACTGGACACAGGTTAGGGAAACTCCCGTGTTCAGCGCCACCGCTCACCTCCCCTAAAGATGGGGCCTGGGAGTGGCTCTGGGCCTTCCTGGAGTTGCTCCTCAAATTCACCAGGTGTAGAACCAGACACTCTTCCCCTACCCCCCAGCAAATCCAGCAAGGATACAGTCACCTGCATTTTCTGGAGGAACTGGGTTTTAGAGGACGTAGTGGCATCCATGGAGTCGCTGGTCTGTGTAGAGCTGAGCTGGGCCCACAGGCTGGATGCACACATGGGCACCCCAGTGAGAGATCATTATTCTAGTTAGCTGGACTGGATCTCAGGAAGTAGGCAAGGGCCAGAGTAGGGGCCTCAGCCTAGGCCCTAGGGTGTCTGGCTCTGCTGAGAGGTAGGAGAGGCCTTGGGATGTCTCAGGGGAACTAAGAGGACACTGTCCAGAGAGCTGACCCATTCTGAGAAATACTAGGAGAGAATTTGAGGAAGAAGGGGAGAGGGGCTGGCAGTGACTGGTAAGAACTGTGGGTGCTGGCTGTGTACCAGGCACAGTGCATAACCTGAAAGGAAGCACCTCAGTTAACATCTCTAGAAAGCTAGTACTACTATCATCACCTGCACATGCAAGACAAATTGGGACTAAAAGACACCAAGTGTTTTGCTCAAAGTCTTGCAGCTTATAACCAAGCAGCTGAGCTGGGGGGTCTCAAAGCCTACTGAGTCTAAGGTGACTATGGCAGTCGGAGCTGGGCAGACTCTCTTAATATATAGTGTTCCCTCCTAGCAAAGAAAGCAAAGAGATCTGCTGGAAAAGTCTTACCAACAGGGCCCCGAGCTGGTGGGAAGCCTTGGCATCCCTGCTCTCCCCTCCACCCCCACCCAGTTGCAAGACTCAGCCTCACCAGGAGTTCTGAGAAGCCGCCTTCCTGAAGGCCATGGGCAGCTGCAGCAGCGTCCTGTCAGGAAACCCAGTGTTCAAAGGAGCCTCGCCTCATTCTGGGACTGCAGACCCCATTCCCTGCTCAGAGCCCAGATAGGGGTGAGGCTAACACCCCCCACCCCCAAACCATGGGAGCCAAACCCTGTCCAGGTCTGCCCTGTCAGAGAGAGGAGAGGGTACCACAAGCAGAGACCATCTGAGCCCCTGGGCTGGGTAGATAAAAGGGCACTGGATGGCCAGGGAGGAGAGTGGGACAGGCCCTAGCACATCTAACCCAGCCAATTCACAACCAGCTGTTCCATTCTGCCAGCTTCTGGGCATGGGCCTCATGGGTGGTACTCCAGAACCCACATGCACTTCAATGCCCTGCCCTCCCTGTCACCCCAAATTCCAGACTCCAGCTGCTGGCTAGGGTCTGGTCAGGTAGAGTGCTAGCAGTTCCTCCAGTGAGGTTCTGAGAAACCTACCCCTTCTCCTTGAGTGTGAAGGCTTCTGGGGCCTGAGGAGCAGCCGATGGAGCTTTCTGTGGGTCCCTGAGGCCGGGTCCAGGCTTGGCAGCTAGGGGCCCTCTCCCTGCACAGGTCTGATCCCCCGCGGACAGAAGCCTAGGCTTAGGGAGGCCCTTGGCAGGCCTGGTGGCCTGGCGGGTGCCCCTGGGGAGTTTTGTTTGAGAAGCCCGGTGTGGGGCAGCGGCTGTGGTAGCCGAAGTGGCAATGGACCCAGACTTTAGGCTGGAGGCATTGTCTCTTTCTCCAGCCTTAGATATGCCTTTTCGCACGTGTACAGCCTTCTGCAGTGCCTGGGTTAGAAGCTCCAGCTCCTTGAGGTCTTGGGGGCTGGGTGTGCATGCTGTGGAAGCCAATACAACGGTCGGTCACCACTGTCCTTCTTACCGCTGCATGCAGAAGGCAGGCCAGGGGCAGCACTTGGAGCTGGGTAGCTGAGGTTTACCTGGAGACGGGGCCTCTTCATTCGTTTCTGGACCTGGGGTTGGCTCCGGAGTCGGGGTCTCCGCTGGTTCCCTGCGAAGACACAGGAAGCAAAACCCCAGCCTTCTCAGAGCCTTCAGGGAAAGGGGAGAGGGAGATGACACCGACAACCGGCACCTGGGAAGTGGGCGCTGGGCCCGCCCTCCTGGCCCGGTCTCTGAGAGGGGTTCTGAAGGCCCGGGGAAGGCCGAGTCGGGGGTCCCGCCCGGGGCCCGCGTACCAGGCCCGCAGCAGCCTCCGGGAGACCCGCAGGCTCTGCTCCAGCTGCCGCTGCCGCTCGGCACAGGTGTCCAGGGCGTCCTGCAGCTCGGCCACCAGCCTGGGGAGGACACGCCGGTAGCTCAGCACCCGGGCGGCCTCCTACGGGCCGTGCTCGCTCCCGCCCTCGCCCCAGCGCCGGACTCACCGGCGTGAGCAACCGAGCGGTAGCATGGAGACGGTAGTCAGTCTTCAGGATTTGCCGCCGGCGGAAAGTCCCACCCCTTCCGGGCTATAAGACCGCCCATTTCCGGCGGACTATCCAATCCGGAGACCAGAGCTCAGGACCTTCCCCCTCCCCCTACACCCAGCCCACCTGCCACCCCGCGCCTGGCGGCTCGGGCCCCTCCTCCCGGAGCCAGGCCCCGAGGCTTGGAGGAGCGGACCTCGGGAGCCGCGCAGGCTTCCGGTGCGGCTGACTGGTGGATGGTAGCATCTGCGATCGCTCACAGTCGGCGTCTCTGTTCTCACCGAAGGCACTCTGAAGTGGGGCCGGCCGGTCTTGCTGACGCCGGGATGGGCCCAATCGCTATTTACTGGCAACAGTCGCTAGAGATGAGGATGAAGTGTGTGTTGGGAGCGGGGGTGAGGAAGAAGGGAGTGTTCACTTTTGGACATACAGGTGCGGTGATGACATTCAGGGGAGACATCAGGTAGGCACGTGGGTAGAGATGAAGCAAGAGGGTTCAAGGTGAGGCAGATGTGCAGGGACAGGGACAGGCGAGGAATGGGTGTTGGAAGGAGAGCTGGAGCCCGGAGAGGTGAAGTGACAGCAGAGCCCGGTGTCAAAGAAGCACTGGGAGACTGTCCAAGGGATGGGGTGGGGTCTTCAGTGACTAAGGGAACACCCAGCGTGGGGGCAGCGATGCAGGCGGCAAGCCCCAATGTAATTGCAGAAAAGAATAAACAAAAATCTTGGGTTACGACCACAGATCTTGGGTGGGGGGGGGGGCGGGAAGGCATGTTTACAGATGGAGAGCTGTCCATTTTGTAGTCACTAATAGGTGGTGCAGCATAGGGGAGAGAGACATGAAAGTGGGGAGTTGAGGCACAAAGGGGTTGGGACCCAGGCAGCCCTGGGGCTGCTGTTAGCGTGGCCCCTCCATCTGCTGTGGCCTGTTTTCATGCCTAATGTGGGGAGGCTGATGCCCTTCTACCAAAATGAGATTCTCTGTGAGGTAGGAGGGGAGGGGAAAACGCTTCCCATCAGCACTTGGGAGACCCCACACCAGTCATAGGGCACTGAGGTGGTCATTAGAACTTTGGAAGATGCAGGGAGACTCCACACTGTGGTCATGGAGTGTTAGGTTCCACAGGAGTAGTTTTCCCCTACAGGTGCAGGCTGGGAGAAGGCAAAGACCCGGGTTCACCCAGAGTTGGGATTTTGGTAAGGGGCCATGGACAAGTGCCACAATGTGCCTTGGTTGACAGCAGGAAGTGACAAGAAGGCAGTACAGATATGCACATCACGCAGCTTCCACTATCCTCATCACGTTTAATCCTCACAACAGGCCTGTGAGGTAGATATTGCCCCATCTTACAGGCGAAGAAACAGGCTCACACATGCCCAGGGGCACACAGTTGCAAAATTCTCTTACAGTAGAAAAGACATAGATACACACCACACACACACACACACACACAAGCACTGTAATTCTGGTTCAAGAGCTTTTGGGGGACACTCCCAGTCAAGTGGTTCTTTCTGACATTTGGAGAGGAAACAGAAGTTATCACAGCATGGCGAGTGTCAGTGGTCAATCCAACTGCGGAGAGGTCAGGGTCCCTGATCTTGGGCAGATCTCTCAGGTGTTTTGACTGCTGCCCCAAGCGTCTCAGCTAGTTGTCCTCAGGAACCCACAGCAGACCCATCCTTGCCCGGTAGGCAGGGACAGTTCTTCTCAATCTTGCTCTTCTGCATCTGGGTCACTTCAGATGTTACAAATGATGTTTTTTGTGGGGTTTCCCCCCCTGGCTAACCTCTTTAGGAAAATTCTTTTTGCATAAACAGTATCAGGATAGCTTTGAGGGGTTTGAATCAGATTATCTTTAGCTGCGTCTAAATAATGTTAAGAATCCCTTGTTTTTAAAAATTTAATACCTTCTATTTAAAAAGAAATGGCCCAGAAATTCAGCACAGCAAGAGATGTTCATATGGAGACTATCTGTTGGGAACACAGACAAATCACTCTGGGAGGAGGGACATTTCTAAAATGAGCTGGGAGGGAGGGAACCTACGACCAAGACATCAAGGCCCTGTCCTGCAAAAAGTCAGGGCCTTCATGTCTGGTCATCACACGTAGTCCGACAATGAAAAGGGCAGGGCTCCCTCACCACGGGACCCTCTGCCCTGTGAGGGAGTAGATGACCTGGGCAGGGTGAGGTGGGCACGGCGACAGACCTGTACTCAAAGCTTTCAGCTCCCCCTAGAATAGGGGTCCTCAAACTTTTTAAACAGGGGGCCAGTTCACTGTCCCTCAGACCATTGGAGGGCCGGACTATAGTTTTAAAAAAACTATGAACAAATTCCTATGCACACTGCACGTATCTTATTTTGAAGTAAAAAAACAAAACGGGAACAAATACAATATTTGTATTTGCATGTGGCCCGCGGGCCGTAGTTTGAGGACCCCTGCCCTAGAACCTAAAACCAGATAGATGGAGTGGAGAAGCTGTGCCAGGCTACCTGGATCACGTGTTCTCAGTTGTGAAAGCTGTCGCTACTGTGATGAGGGTTCAATGGGGTTGGGGTTGTCATGGGCTTAAGCTTCCCAAAGAGAAAGCAGGACAGACACAGGGGAGCACAGAGAAATAGGCTTCACACAGTGTTGCTTTGAGGTGAAACTTTTCAAAGAGAAGGATCTGAGTTTTTGTTCGGATTTAGACATTCTGATAGCTGGAATGGGACTCGCCTGGTGAAAGACACTCAGTGCCCTTCCTAAGTTCTCTGTACCCCATTTGAGGCCACTGGGGTCTACACATCATTCATCTCCAGTGCTCCCACTTCTAGTGCAGCAGCAGCTCTCTCTGCAAACATTCACTGCAGCAAACACTAGCACACTCACAGCTCCAGGAAGCCCAAGTTCGTGTCCTGCTCCTCCTTGCTGGGGGCAGATAGGTTTTTCCTTTTCACCTCTTGCCGGGGAACATTGCTCTCTGGGGAACTTGAGGGACGACACTGTAAACACGACTTCCTGGCATGATGATGGCAATGCAGTGTGCTCGAGTCACTGCCTGGGGAATGTGCTGAGGTAGATTGGGGAGGGCCGCCATTCACGGAGTTTGTAGGACTCACGCTGCTGACGGAGGAGTACCCTGAGGTTGTAATGTCCTTGCTCAGTTCCCTGCTGCCACAGAGAGGGGGCGTGGGCCCTAGGGCCAGAGGTGTCTGGGTGCTTGGCACCATGGCGTGCAGGTCCTGGCATCTCTTGTCCTCCAGGCAGGCCTCCTCATCGCTAGATTCCTGGCCGCAGTGCTGTTCGGGATTGAGGTACACCACAGTGACATCAAGGACACCGCTGGGAGCCGTCACTATGGGAGAAGGAGGAGTCAGAGGAGAGGCCAGGCCACAGACTGAGCATCAGGGTGACCCCCTACCCAGCTGGGACCCTGGTCGCCTAGGGTCCAACCAACTCTCACCCAGTTCTCTCAGCTACATATGCTGGACCTCACTAGACAGTTCCCTCTACTGATCTTTGAGTTAAAGAATGGAATATGGCCGAAACTGGTTTGGCTCAGTGGATAGAGCGTCGGCCTGCGGACTGAAGGGTCCCAGGTTCGATTCCGGTCAGGGGCATGTACCTGGGTTGCGGGCATATCCCCAGTAGGAGATGTGCAGGAGGCAGCTGATCGATGTTTCTCTCTCATTGATGTTTCTAACTCTCTATCTCTCTCCCTTCCTCTCTGTAAAAAATCAATAAAATATATTAAAAAAAAAATTAAAAAAAAAAAAAAAAAAGAATGGAATATGAAATGCCTCCTTCAAGCTTGGGGCACCCAATAGGACTTGGGGGACAGTAGGAAGTGACAACAAACTGGTCATCTAATAATTTACTTAATTCCCTGGACACAAAAGCTTGCAAGCAATCGGGAGACTGACAGAAACTGCTTGAATTGGGTTTTCTATGCAGACAAGTGCCTGAAAACACGAGAATAGAGCCCCCTGCAGCCTCCCCTGGACCCTGGAGGAGAGTGTGAGGCACAGAACCACAAAGCTGCAAAGGGCAGTGGGGAACACATCTCATACATAGTTCTAGAAAGATCTTATTGTAAACTCCAGACAGGACTTCTTCCTCTTCCCTGCCCCAGTGAGTCCCTTCCATCAACACAAGCCTGCCTTAAGCTGAACACACGTTTGGCTTAAATCCTTTTCTCCCCAAACGCTGCTGTGGTGTCCTAGGGACTCTGCTCTCTCACGCCTACCTGTGTCTGGACATGTTCTCTTGCAGGTAAAGTCAGGGGCCCTCGATGAGAGCTGCCCTTTTTCTCGCTGCCCCCTTTGGCATAGCCCCTGAGTAGCTTCGTGGCCACAGGACTTACCATCACCTTCCTTCTCGCCCTCGCTCTCCTGGTCGCCCTCGTAGCCAGAGCAGTAGTCCAGGTTCCAGTCCAGGAAGCTGCCCAGTAGCGTCTCTTCCTGGCTGGACAGCTCTGCGGTGGGGGTGGTGACGAAGCTGCCCCTGTCCTCTTGGAGGCTGTTCTCTCGCTTCCTAAGATGTGGAGGCCAGGAACTCAGTCATAGGCAGAAGTATTAGGTCCCTGGCACCTGCCTGCCCTGCCCCGTGTGCTGTGATAGAGACAACACAGCCACCCAGTGCCTGCCCTTGGAGTCCCAGAGGCAAGGCCAGAGGTGCAGTGAGAGCACTGGCTCATCTGGACTTTGCAGGATCAGTGCGAGTTCTTCAGGTGAATGAGGTGGGGAAGAAAAGTTATTGCAAGTGGTACAGCCAGGACTTTGAGATAGGAGAGACAGAAGTAAGTGGGATATACACAGAAGATTTAGGATAGAGATGAGGGTGCATGGGAGGCGCTGAGGACACTAATTAGGTTATAGCTGCAGTTCAGGGAGTGCCAGTAACACCATGGAGTAGAGGGCCCAGGGAGGGTGACATGTGACAGGTGCATGGCAGGGCCAGAGCCTGAGCTGGGCTCAACCTATGCTCAAGCCTATTTTCCCTCAAAGGGTACCAGTCAAAGCAAGAGATAGCACGTTGGAGGAAAGAGGATAGCACTGTGGAGGCCTGAATTCAACCCAGCTTCAATTTCATAGGATCTGTTGCTTCTCCGTTATGCCATAGGAACCCTCTGTGTATGAAGCCCCTCAGGCAGTTGCAGGGGTCACGAGGGAACCCAGGCCCAAGCACACAGGAGCCACACTGCATCACACCCTTAAGATACGGGGCTTACTAACCTCTTGGTTTTCCTTGCGGAAGGAGAGCTAAGGAAGGTGTGAATGTCCCCTGAGCTGAGGAAAGACGTGGGTTCCGGGCTCTCTTGTTTCACTCCTAGAGCTGCGCACACCTGGCTGTAGCTCAGCACCTGAGAGGAAGCCAGGGTCAGAGGGAGAGAAGAGGCCCCAAGGGGTAGGCAGGGGTTTGTTCCCACCCCAACCAGGAGACAGGGTAGGGAGGTGACACCTCTTCCTGGCTGATCTCTTGGTAACGCTTATCCTCAAATCGCTGTTTCACGGCAGTCAGAGAGACTTGTCTATAGTCCTTGGGGACGTCATCATGGAAGCTGCAAATAGAGGGACACATGAGGGACAGTGGGGGGCAGGTGGGGATCCCGGGCAGGCATTATCAGCACACGAGACTCCCATTTTTAGCCTCCCTCACTAAAATGAGAGGGGACAACATACTTTCAAAAATAGCTCAGTGATGGGAGGTAAAGCAGGGTGCTACTGTGGAAAAGTCTAGCTGTTCCTAACAGTTAAACCTAGAGTCACCTATGACCCAGCAATTCCAGTCCCAGGTGTATCCCCAACAGAAATGTGAACACATGTTCACACAGAAACTTGTCCGTGGATGTTCATAGCAGCATGATTCATAACAGCTAAAGGTGGAAACAATCCAAACATCCATCAGTGCACAAATTATAAACACAATATCGACACAGTAGAATATTAACAGTGGAAAATATGAGGGTGGAAGAGGTCTGCCACAAAAGGTCACATATTGTATGATTCCGTTTCTATGAAATGTCCAGAACAGGTACATCCATAGAGACTGACAGTAGATGAATGTTTGCCTAGGGCTGGAAGGGCGAGGGAATATGGGTAAGGAGAACAGCCCCCCCCTCCCATTTTAAAACCATTTTTATTTTTCAATTATAGTTGACATACATTATTATACTAGTTTCAGGTGTACACTCTAGTGATTAGACATTACATAACTTACTAAGTGATCATCCTGATAAGTCTCACACCCATCTGACACCATACATAGTTAATAGATTATTCACTATGTTCCCTATGCTATACTTTATATCCCATGACTATTATGTATTAACAATTTCTACTTCTTAATCCCTTCACCTTTTTCACCCATCCCCTCAACAACCTTCCATCTGGCAAATGGCAAATGTTCTCTGTATCTGTTATTTTGTTTTTTAGATTCAACTGTTGATAGATATGTATTTATTGCCATTTTATTGTTCATATTTTTTATCTTGTCTTTTCTTCTTCTTCTTAAAGAAGACCCTTTAGCTTTTTTTTTTTTTTTGGTCTGCCCTTTGATTTTAAATGATGGCTTTGCTGGATAATCTTGGTTGTAGGTTCTTCCTTTTCATCACTTTGAATATATCTTGCCAATCCCTTCTGGGCCTTCAAAGTTTCTATTGAGCTCCCTTGAAGGTAACTGCTTTTCTCTTGCTTTTAAGATTCTCTCTGCCTTTACCTTTTGCATTTTAATTACGATGTGCCTTGGTATGGGCCTCTTTGGGTTCATCTTATTTAGGACTCTCTGCAGTTCCATATCTATTCCCTTCAGCAGGTTAGGGAAGGATTCTGTCATTATTTTTTCAAATAGGTTTTCAATTTCTTGACCTTGGCAGCTGAGATAGCTCTCCCAATTTTTATCCACCACATGTGGGACCAGCCTGTTCTCCTTCTGGCAACCCCATGATGCAAATGTTAGTGAGCTTGAAGTTGTCTCAGAGACTCCTTACACTAGCCTCATGTTTTGTGTTCCTTTTTCTTTTTGCTGTTTTGACTTGGTGTTTTTTTGCTTCCTTTTATTCCAAATTGCTGATTTGGTTCTTAGCTTTATCTACTGTACTGTTGTTTCCCTATAAATTATCCTTCATTTCAGTTAGTGTATTCTTCATATCTGACTGGTCCTTTTTTATGCTAAGTTCACTGAGTATCCTTATAACCAGTGTTTTGAACTCTGCATCTAGAATGCTTATCCCCATTTTATTTAGTTCTTTTTCTGGAGTTTTGTTCTGTTCTTTCATTTGGGGCATGTTTCTCTGTCTCCTCATTTTGGCAGCCTCCCTGTGTTTGTTTCTGTGTATTAGGTAGAGCTGCTACATCTCCCTGCCTTGGAGGAGTGGACTAACTTAGTATGTGTTCTACAGGGTCCAGTGGCACAGCCTACCCAATCACCCAGGCTGGGCACTTGAGGTGTGCCTCCTGTGTGGGCTGTGTACACTATCCTCTTGTAGTTGAGCCTTGATTGCTGTTGGCACATCAATGGGAGGGATTTACTCCCAGGCCAATCAGCTGCAAGGACTGGCTATGACCACCAACCTGATACTCACAACTTACTGCAGGAAAGGTCTGTGTGGATTGATGGTCCTCCCATGAGAGCCCCCTCCTTTTCTCTATACTTGAGGACCCAGCCTCTGTGGCAGAAGTAGGGTGGGAGAATCCATTTCCTTTTACAGACTCACCACTTTTGGTGAAGACTCAAGACACAGGGTATGAGGTCTTCACAGGAGAAGCCGGTGAGGTCCCACAGTTGAGTGCTCCAGGGCTGTGCTGGGGAGAAAAGCAGGAATGGTGGGGCTGTTCTGACACCCACTCACACATACAACCCAGATGGTTCTGTTGTGGGATTTCCTGGATTTCAGGGTTGCAAAGACCCCCACATACAAAGCATGCCTCCTTGCTGTCAACAGTGAGGGAAATACAGGGGTGGGCAAAAGTAGGCTTAAGTTGTTCATATGTAAAATCTATAATAATAAAAGCATAATATGCAAATCAACCAAACGGCAGAACAGCGGAACAACTGTCCGGATGAAGCCAGGGCTGTGAGGCCCGAGGCAACTGGGGCTGCGAAGGCCTACTCTTGCACAAATTTAGTGCAAAGGGCCTCTAGTAATATAATAATTAGTAAGTAATAATACAAGCCTGGCTGGTGTGGTCAAGGTTCAATTCCTGGTCAGGGTACATGCTGGGGTTGCAGGCTCAATCCCCAGTAGCGGGGCGTGTAGGAGGCAGCTGATCGATGATTCTCTATCATTGATGCTTCTATCCCCCCCCGCCCCTCTCTTTCTCTCTCTCTCTCTCTCCCTTCCTCTCTCTGAAATCAGTAACATATTTTAAAAATAAATAAATAATAATAATACAAGAATAAATACTGTGTTTGGTGGACTATAATTATAAATCTACTTTTGTCTACTCCTGCACTTAAGCTAGAACCATAGCTAACCTCACCCCCAGAGAATGGCTTTTAGTCCATTCTAGTGTTTTCTTCTCCAGGAGAGATGGGCCTGCTTCTTTTTCTCCCCTCTCCCCACTTATATCTGAGCATCATTTTCTGACTCCAGGAATTGCCCAGGCCCCTGGCTCAGCCTGTGCTGAGTGGCTAACAGGATCCTTACTTTGCCCATGTGTCAACCTTGCTAGCAGCAGGGCGGCTGCGGCCAGGCGTGCTGGGGAGTAGGCGGCCAGGCTGGTGTGCAGTAGGGAGAGCTCGCAGAGGAAGCTGCACAGGTGCTGGGTTCTTGGTGGCATAGGGATCAGCGTCAGCAAGATGTCCTTGTAATCGACCACAGTAGGGACCTAGAGAGAACCGGAAGGCAGATGTGGGGTGGGGGTCTCAGCACACAGAGAGCTCATCTACCCACTCAACAGGGAGGCTGGCCCAGCACAGAGTCTGGCATGACTGATGTTCAAGATGGTTGCCAGGGCATGTGGTGATAAGATGACCTCAGGGTCCAAGAGAACTTCTCAGAGCAGGAAAGTTCAATGCTATGAGGTTGCCCTCAGATCCTGCCACTCCCTCATGTGACCTCCACTTTGATTTACAAAAAAAAAGAAAAAGGCCACTTACTCGAATCTTCCCTTCCAGAGCAGAAATGATCTCTCCCATCATCCTCACCAGGTCCTCATACTTGTACGTATTGTCTGTGAGCCACACGGCTTCCCGGATTGTCAAGATCTCTTTGTTGATGAACCTGGAATATGAGATGGGGTCTGAGAGTTGAGCTCAATTCCCTCAGTGAGGCAATCACTTTAGGCTTCAGTAAAAGAGGCTGGGGGTGGGGAGGTCAAGGAATAGACCTGGATGCTTGTGACTACAGACAGGAACTGAAGAGGTCACATAACCCTGTCATAAGGGGCTGGAAAGGAGGAGGGATTAGTGCCACAGAACATTATGAGTGGCTGGACCGCCAGGCACACAAATGTTTCTGCCAAAGGCACTCATGAATGACGCGACTGGTCAATCCTCTTAGTGAGTGAGGGGGATTTGCCCTGCTTTGTGCCAGATTCTACAGCGAGTATAAATGGCTTAAATCTAGGAGGCAGGTGAGCCAACAGAACTGAGATAGAGGTTGTTTGAAGGTTTGTACATAGCACAAAGTCTGGCCACTGGAAATTTGATTGTCCATTAGGCAGGTGGTCACCCTGTTCTCTATTCTCCATGAGAGCCAACTATCAGTGAACACACTGGTACAGTGGCCTGCTGAGGGTGCCTCGCCTGGTAGGGTGGACTGGGGCCAGGCCTGTGATCGCTTTGTTCTAAGACTCTGCAACTCCCACATTTGCTGAGGCATGGGGACCACAGGTGCTGAAAGATTGAGATGCAAGTGTAGCTGGTGAGAGCCCTGTGCTTGGAGTCATGGCAAGTGCTGCTTTGAGAGCAGAGGTGGGGGTATCTCAGCCTCTAAAAAATTTTAAAGCAATTAGCATCTTACTGCTAGTCAGTTTGTGATCCAATAACTTGGTTTCTGATGGCAAGGATGTAAGTATGCCACCTAGGTACAGGAGGCAGGCACCCTGTCTATTCAGCCCTCTCTGGTGAGGAGACCTGAAATACTAAGGGGCCCAAACAGTGTGCGGCAGTCTGCTTGCTGACCCTGAGTCCATCATGCTCCCTCCACCTGTGGTCATATGACCATGCTTCCATGACTACCCAGAGACCATACTTTCTAGTTACATGTGGCCATGTGACTGAGCTTGCTGCAAAGGTGGACATGGTGACCTTAGGGGTCATGGAATGGTGGTGGCAGAGAATAAGACAGAAACTAGGGCTCCTCTGTGACCTCCATGAAACAGAAAATCTGTCCCAATGACATGATGAGCCTGGATCTTATGCCTCTGGGTTATTGTGCAAAAGAAATCAATCTCCCTGTAATTCACACCACTGTGTGCAATGAGCCTGTTCCTTATTTCCCCCAAGCCTTGCAGACAAGGATGGTTGGTCTGGAAAGCACTGCCCAGGGGAAATGGCAGACCATCTGGTTTAGGAAAACTAGAAAATACAAAATGTATGGTGGGAATCACTGTTCATATTACTTCCAAAACTGGGTGGACAGGTATTTGTTAAAGGACAGCAGATTTAGGTAATAAATAAGATTGAGAAACACATTCTTGGGAACGTGACTGCCAACAAGCAATCTTTCATGATCTTGGGTGGAGGACTCTGACTTTCCCTCCTTGTTGAGTCATCCTCAGGGGCCAGGAGAAGTGGGGTCCAACCTGAGCCTCACCAAGTAAGGCCACACTCTGGGTCCTGAGACCATGTGCTGGGATGAGTGGCTGCCCACACTCCAAGCTCAGCTGTCCCTGTGGGGAGGACTACGTGGCTTGAGCACTCCCTAAAACTCAAATCCCCATCTAACCAAGTGGGGTGCTGAAATTTTACTTCACTGAAAAGCCAGCCCATGGACTAGGGCAGCGGTCCTCAAACTGTGGGTCGAGACCCCTTTGGCGGTCGAACGACCCTTTCACAGGGGTCGCCTAAGACCATCCTGCATATCAGATATTTACATTACGATTCATAACAGTAGCGACATTACAGTTATGAAGTAGCAACAAAAATAATTTTATGGTTGGGTCACAACATGAGGAACTGTATTTAAAGGGCCAGAAGGTTGAGAACCACTGGACTAGGGCATAGCTGTGGGGAGCTTCTCACCGAGTGCAGATGACCATGCAGGCAATGCCCAGCAGCTGGAGCCTGTACCGGGGCACCAGCCTCCTCCGTAGGTATCGGTCCACACACTCCACTGTCAGGTGAAGGCATAGGCTTGTGAAGTCCTTCATGGTAGCAACTTCTACCAGCCAGTCGATCAGAATGTACCTTTGGGAAGAGAACCACCCCTGAACACTAGAGCGAGCACTCATGTATCCTGTCTCCCAATCCAGATGGTTCATCTTCTCGAGTGAGAGAGCTGGTCATCTGCACTATTGGTTTACCCAGGAGCCATCCCAGGCTGAGATGCCACATTCAAGGGAGTTGGGGAGGCCCCACATCTCCTGGCATTGTTTCTGGGGGGTCGGTGGCTCATATATCTGTGTCTCTGCCTTTCCCACAGAGCCCCCCAGGCACTGGAAAGACCTGATACTCACAGGTAAGGGGCAAGGTAGAGGTGGGACAGATCACAGACCCCAGGACCAGAGAAAAGACACTCAAAGGTGCGAGAGCTTTGGCCTTCCTGCAAGTCACCTATGGGGTCATTTACCAAAACCTTTTGCAGTGGAGCAAAGAGCCAAGAACACAACTAAAGCAGAATGCACCGAGACCATGAAATGGACTTTCTTAGTCACCCACCAACCCTGATGGAGCACAGAGACAACACACATGGGGTCCTTCCTCGAGAGGGCTATAGCCTGGGGTCAGGGACACAGACATCACAAAGGAATGCTGTGTGCAATGGGAAGGATACTCGAGTACAGGAAATGCCTTTCTGAACAAAAGAGAGGGGACGGAGAGAATAGGAGAGAGAGAAAAATTGTGATTCTGCACAGACAGGGTAGATGGGATCCTGGTGTCAGGCAGGACAGAAGCATCTCAGAGGGAAGGAGGGAAAGATGGGGTCAAAGTGGTGGAATGGAAGGAGGGAAGCAATGGAGGTGGAATGGAAGGAGGAAAGGATGAAGGAGGAAGACAAGCCTCTAATTTCTCCCAGAAGGAGGAAGACAGCATGAGTATCAGGTATTTGAGGTTTAAACCAGCCACTATTGGAACAGAAGAGGAAGTTCCCCTACACAAACAGATTAACAAGCTTAATCTGGCTTATAAAAACAGAATAACCAATGTATATACTTTAAAATGGTTAAATCTGAAACTAATATAATGTTACATGTCAATTATACCTCAGTAAAAAAAAGTTGGCAGTTGCTAGGCAGAGGAAAATGGAAAGATGCTCAACTCAAGGGCTGAGATGATAGTATCGCAATAAAATTATTTTAGTTCTTAACAAGGAAAAAAAAAGTGAAATTTATTACACACTGCTGCTCCCAAAATAGCAACAGTAAAAAAAAAAAAAGGCAGACTGAGAGGGCACAAGTGGTGTTATCAGCGAATTTCTTCCAACAGAAAAAGGGAAGAGCTGAGAGGAGGGGGGAAGGGACTGTGACATTTAATGTGGGATCTAAGGATGCTGTATCCCTTACTGTGTGTGTGGTAGACATTAAGCCTCTCCAGGAAACGCTAGATCCTTCTAAAAATAAATGTTTACTGAGAACTTACTATGTGCTGGGCATTGTCTACTGGAGTATACCCAGAGCCTGCCCATTATAAATCCGAATGTATTAGAAATCTCTTACATAAGCTCACAAAATTATTCACATTTTCCATTTTACTAACATGCAAGTAAGAAGTACCTTATCTCTAAACCTTGGCGGAAAATGGGCCTGCAGGAAGAGGTGGGTATTGCTGGGGTTTTAGGACACCGGGCACATTGCAGCTGCCCCAGAGGGCATAGCTCCTGGTTCAGGCTGGCTCAGACAGCCATGGAGTTTCACACACCCAGTTGATGATCGTAATGATAGCTTATAAAGAAAAGGTGGTTTGGGGGCTTCAGAAAGATGTTTAAAATGGTTTAACTTGTTCTGAGGCTTAAAAAGGAAAACTGGAGAGAGCAACACTTTTTAGGACGAATATTTTCTCTTAGAAGCCCTGGATAACTTAGAGAACACTCACACACACACATACACAAATGGGGTGATCTAGTGGGGTTGACAACACAGAGTGCTCTGTGATAGGTGGTTCAGGTGAAACAGAATGGATAGCTCCCTTTGCACCAGAGACCAGTGGTCACTCTGCCTTCCAATCAGACGCTCTGGCTTGAACCCCTCACCTCATCGTGTCGTTGAGTCCCTTCTGCACAGAAAACACCTTCTGCTTATTAGCAGCGTGGGAAGCCTGAAAGAGCTGGCAGACTATCTCATTGGATGCTTTCACTTCTAGGCCAAGCTGGTTTCCATTTGCACAGGCTTTGGCTAAAGACAGCTGAGAAGTAAAGACATGCAGAATGAGCACAAAGCAGTGACTTTTGAGGTTTTCCATTTCCAAATGTGAAGAGCTTTTGAGAGAGAAGACATGTGTATACACATTTGCCCTCCTTATGCCTCAAGCCTTCTGTGACCAGTATGACTAAGATTTTAATGATTCCTTTTGAAATAAGTAATATATCACATGATAAAGAATTTTAAAAAGGATAAAAGGTATGTAACGAAATGTCAGTCCCCTTCCTAACCTGGTAAGCAGTTCAAACAATAAGTGTTTGGTAACTTAAAAAAAAAAAAAGTATATTTCTGTTCATCTCCTAATTGTGAAAGCTAGATATTCCAGAAGGAAGAAATGCATTGCCCTTTCACCCAGCAGTGATGGGAATGCTGCTGCTCTGCTTCCTCAGTTGTGTTTATTTCCTCTTTTCTCAGAGGGGACTGAGGCCCTGTGGACTTTATCGGGACCTTATTACTCTTATTGATGAGTTTGAGCTTCAAGTAGAACCACATTGTCATTGTCATGTCTTATAAATTTGCAGACTGCCTTTTTGGACACAAACATTACCGGGCTCTGTGACATGTCAGGCTGAGCCACCTACCGCTTTGTGATTCTTTCTTAGCTTTTGAGGGTAGGTGACTCTCAACCATCCACTTGATTGGCTGAGCTTCTACCCGCTTGGCTTTCTTTGTCTTGAAATCACGACTTCACAGCTACAAGGGGAGAGTGCTTAACTAACACCAACTACAAATCCTTAAGGGTTCTGGTTCTGACACTGGACAACCTGGTGAGCAGGTCAAATAATGAGAATAAGACAGCACTCCACATGCCCACCTGCTCTAAGGAGCTTCAAGATCTGTTGCTGAGGTAAGCTTTACCTGCAAGACAACTTTAGGGACCAGTATGAATTTTGACAGCAGATGCAGTTCCCAGGCACTTAGAAATTAAGAGACTGGCTTAGATGCCCTAACCGGTTTGGCTCAGTGGATAGAGCATCAGCCTGCGGACTGAAAGGTCCTGGGTTCGATTCCAGTCAAGGGCATATACCTTGGTTGCGGGCACATCCCCAGTGGGGAGTGTGCAGGAGGCAGCTGATCGATGTTTCTCTCTCATCGATGTTTCTAACTCTCTATCCCTCTCCTCTCCTCTCTGTAAAAAATCAATAAAATATATTTAAAAAAAAAAAAAAGAGACTGGCTTAGAGGCAATGGGCTTTGAGACAATAGGGTGGTAATGAACAGAGAAGAAAGCAGCAGTTCTAGGCTCTCCTCCCACACACCCCAAAGCTAAACTCCTTTAAGACACAACTCCAGTTTTATGGCCTCCTGAGTGAGAGTCCAGGAGGTAAAGGCAAGCTCCCTTCTCACCTGGGCTTCCCAGCAGCCTTTGGCAGCATAGTCCCTGAGTTTCCGGAAGTTGTGGAGGCACCGTCCAGGATCAGACATCTGTCAATGGAAGAAAGTCACCATGACTTTATACTGTTGTCTCTGGAAAAACTCAGAACTGACCTACGGGATCTTTAAATGTTTCCCCCAACATCCCCAGAGGGTCTCTGGCTACACTTTCTTCCAAGCCTTTTATTCTCTAAATGACAGTGGCCATTTTGGGACAGTGCTGAGAGTGGCCCACTAAGCAGCGGTTCCCAGGGGCCTACTAGATGTATGAGGATCCTTCCTGTGCTGACAACCTCATCTAAGGGCCAATTTGGAGACTGTGCCTTTGGCCAACATAATTCCTCCTCTCCCCAGACCCTGGTCCACTCACATCCGTCATTCTGTCACTTTCCCAGAGGAGGTACGAGCTGATCAAACATCCCTGATTAGCAGACTCTTCAAACAGTTCACGAGCCTGCTTCTTTTTCTCTTCATCCTGGAAAAGTCCAAGCAGTTTATCCTTTTCTTATTCTCTTTCTGCTAACCCATTCTAGTAACCATCTTCATCTTTCTCCATATCTCTAAGTGTCCCCATGCATTGCTCTTTAATAAGAATGAGTTAACTAAATCGGAGTAGAAATGATTTCTCTAAAGACATACATTTGACAATCAACGGGGAAAGTGAATTCATGAATTCTGCCCTCACAGGTTCTGCTTTCTCCTTGACCAGGTTTGTGTTTGGCTTGGCCCTAGGCCTACTGGAGGGCAAGCCCTCCACACTGAACCCCCCAGATGGTGATGCTGGAGGCTATCTTGGGGCTCCTCCACCCCCTCCCTCATGCTCAGTGTCCCTCCCTGTTACTGTCAATGCACACCTGTCACCAGAAGCCACCACCTTCCCTGACTTGCTGCAGAGGGAATTCCTTAATAACAAAGCTTGTTAAAGCTTCCTCAAATGTGGAGAGTCTGGGTGAGCAGTGGGAGAGGCTCACCAATAGCAGAACCATGGAACAAATAAGCACATTCAGACGCTCTGCCTGGCTCCACGCAGCCTCTCAGTCAGGACTCTGGCTTCGAACCCTGGACAGCCCCTTTTGCTGCCTTTCACTTACTTCCTCATCCTTGGTGTTTGTGGCTGGCAGAAAGGTGAGCAGTATGGACATGTGACACTGCACACATATTCTGTGTGCTCACCCAGGCCAGGCACACATAAAACTCAGAATCCAAGTGGGATGGATAACTCAACTCACCTCAAAAAGATTCAGTACTCTCCCCAAGCAGTGCAGTATGGACGCTCTGTGAGTCTAAGAGGAGGAGGAGAAAGAAGAATGATCACTATAGGCGAGAACATCCGGGGCTGCCCCTCCCAGCCTGTGGGGTTTGCAGAGGACCGCCTGCTTCATGGAACCTCTCTTGCCTTTCCAGCTGTCACTGTGCCTGCAGTCCAGCTCATCAGATTCCCCTGAACCCGGCTCCGAGGCCTCCTCTCCTGCTTGGGCATTTCCAGACGCTCCCACATCCAGACTATTGGTTTTCTGTGCCTCCACTGCCCTCAGGTCCCTGACTTTATATGGTCCACAGCATCTCTCCTCAAGGTTTCTCACCTCCCAGGATCCTGTGGGGCTTGAACTGCCCAGCACTGCCTACCCTACATGCGACCCTGGCCAGGACTCACTCTTTGTAGCTGGCACTCTGCCCGGAGGCTCTCGTGAACCACGGCCTTGCAGCAGCTTCCAGACACTGACCACGGAGGGCGGATGAAGAGCCAGATGAAAGGCGCGGCACTGACATTCAGTCGCTCAGCGAGACTAAAGTAGCGAGAGGCTTTCAGGCCATTCACTTCTGCGCGGGCCTCATCAGACACAGACACTGTAGAGGCGGACAGAACATGACCCAGGGATGTCTCGAGGACAAATGTGAGAGTTCTCCATGATCTTTTGGGAAAGTCTAAAACCCCAAGTCCACTGCAGTGCAGAGCTGCTGGTGTTTGAGGAGACAAAAGCCCTCTAGAATGGGGGGCTCCTTCCCCTTCTCTCCCTACTTTGTGACTCATGTACCTCTGCCAGGGTCTTCCCAACAGCCTGGATTTTGAAGGTGGGAAGGTGCTCTCTGTGAAGGTGTCAGATGCCCACCCTCCCTCCTGTTGGGTACTGCTGGCAACCCCCCTGCTAACAAGCTGATTTTGGGGGTAATGAGAATTTCCAAAATCAGACAGTGGTGATAGCTGCACAACTCTGTGACTATACCAAAAATCACTAGGTTGTATACTTTGGATGGGTGAGTTGTATGGTATGTGAATTTTGTCTGGGAACTGCTATCTGATGGGAGGTTTGGGGCAGGACTGCAGCTTTTCTCAGCCTGGAGGAACGCTCATTGTTCCTATTAGTCACAACAGTCTTGTCAACTGACCACATGCAGGGGCTATTTCTCAATAAGATGCCAGATCTTTCAGAAGCAGAAAAACGGCTGTTTTTAAATCTTAATGTGTTTTGGGAACCAGACAGGATGGACCCTAGGCTAGTCCTTAGTGTGCTAAGCAAACAGGCAGGAATTGGTGGAAGGCCACATAAGATTCTTTCAAAGAGCACCTGACCTTTGGGGGTAAAGAAATTCAGTTACCACGCTGGCTTTGACCTGCTTGTACCTGCCTCCGGCTTAGAGCGTTGGCCACCTGTGTTCTTGATCTCCTACGGAATTAGGCACACTTTGACCACTGCTCCAGAGTTCCACAGAGGAACTGTGGCTGAGGCAAGGAGCCAGAGTCTACACACGAGTTTTGGTGTTAACTGGACAGAGGGCAGGCAGCCAGGGGAAGGCTGCTGCCTGAGTAGCCCTCATTCTAAGTCTCTGCTCAGTCATTCTTTGCTGACTGAAATGAAAAGATTTATTAAAATGAGAAGTGAGTCTTCCAATGTACAAAAATCAAACTTCATCAATGGGTCCCTCAGTAGGGCACCTCTGGCACAAGCTCCTTGGAGAAGACAGTAAGGCAGACCTCCAGATACAGAAAGAAGAGCAACTAAATTACAAACACTGAGAATAGCTTATGTGTGTTCTAAAACATCAATATCAAGAGGGGCAATGCCAGCTCCAGCCCTGCAAGGACTTACAGCCTTCATTGTAGAGGTACGCAATGCCTAGCTTCACAGCAGCTTCAAAATTTCCCTTTTCAGCAGCCCTACAGCATTAAGAACAGAAAATATCACAGAATTATATTCCATCAAGGTTATGTTCCATCACAGCAATTGAAACTAGGCATTTTCTGAATAGCAACTTTTTTTTTTAGCTAGTGCAGTTATATATCATACAACATGGATGAACCTTAAAAACATGCTAAGTGAAAGAAGTCAACAAGTTGTATGATTCCTTATATGAAATGTTCATAATGGGCATATCCAGAGAGAGGAAACAGATACTAGGGTTTGGGGGATTGCAGGTAAAATAGGGAATGACTGCTAATGGGTACAGGGTCTCATTTTGGGGTAATGAGAATGTTATAAAGTTAGATAGTGTTGATGGCTGCATAACTGTGACTATATTAAAAATCACCAAGTTGCACATTTAAAAAGGGTAAATTGTATAGTTTGTGGGTTATATCTCAGGTGGCCGGCCTGAAACTACTGGCACACTTGGATGGTGTGTTTAGTCATTGTCACACTAGGATTCACAGGCCTTAGGGCTCACACCCACTTTGGTCCAGCCTCTGGGTGCCATCTCTAGCAGGGGGATGGGATCAGCCAGTGAACGAAATGCAATAGGATTTAAATCATATGGTTTTGACCAAAAGAAAAGAGAGCTGAATAAAGTTTCCACACACAGGTGACCTGGGTTTGAGTCACAAGGGATGGGTCACAGCCCAAGAGGGACTCTTCAGAAGCACCACTCTGACTAATGAGAGTTAGGCCTGTGCTGGTGGTAGGATGACTGATGACTGTGCTGGAAGTCATGTGACTCAGTGGGTGAGGTTGACTGCCCTTAGTTGCTTCCTTGGGGGGATAAGGAATTGGCAGAGGCTACAGGAAGAAAATCATTCCCAGGTCAGGCCTTGGGACACACGCTGAAATATCAGGGAGGCCCCAAGATGGGAGAAAACCAAGCTATTCCCGGGGTGCAGAGATACCTTTCAAAGAGCTTCAGGTTCCTTGGAGAAGGCCATAGCTCTTGAAAGCTGGCACATGCCCACACGCTGGCATGGTTGTCCACCAGGTACTTCAGGTGGGAGTGCACCTGCAGAGCAACGGAAGCAGGGTAGGTGGGAATTAAGGGACCTTCCCAGAAGCCATGCTCTGGAGCTCTTGAAGACAGAAGGTAGGGCCTCCTGTCCTCTTCCCTACCCCAGTAGTAAAGGCCCCCACTCTGTGTCTTAAAGTAACAGTGGCTTTGAATAGAAAAAAGAGCCCAAAAATAAGTTTCTCTGTGGCTCTAAAGATGGAGACAGTGGTCCTAACCCAGCCGTGGGCAAACTACGGCCCTCGGGCCGGATCCGCCAGTTTGAAATGAATAAAACTAAAAAAGAAAAGACCATACCCTTTTATGTAATGATGTTTACTTTGAATTTATATTAGTTCACACAAACACTCCATCCATGCTTTTGTTCCGGCCTCCGGTCCAGTTTAAGAACCCATTGTGGCCCTTGAGTCAAAAAGTTTGCCCACCCGTCCTGCCCAAACCGGTTTGGCTCAGTGGATAGAGCGTCCGCCTGTGGACTAAAAGGTCCCAGGTTCGATTCCGGTCAAGGGCATGTACCTGGGTTGCGGGCACATCCCCAGTAGGGGATGTGCTGGAGGCAGCTGATGGATGTTTCTAACTCTCTATCTCTCTCCCTTCCTCTCTGTAAAAAAAAATCAATAAAATATATTAAAAAAAAAAAAAAAGTTTGCCCACCCATCCTAACCGGTTTGGCTCAGTGGATAGGGCGTCAACCTGCAGACTCAAGGGTCCCAGGTTTGATTCCGGTCAAGGGCTTGTACCTTGGTTTCAGGCACATCTCCAGTATGGAGTGTGCAGGAGGAAGCTGATCGATGTTTCTCTCTCATCGATGTTTCTAACTCTCTATCCCTCTCCCTTCCTCTCTGTAAAAAAATCAATGAAATATATTTAAAAAATTAAAAAAATAAAGGTGGAGACAGTGGTCCTGGAAGGGGGAATAATCATCTAGACTGAGAAAGAGGGGATGACACCTCTGTACGATATATAGCTACAAGGAACAGAGGAACCAAGTCTAACAGGAGCAGCTAGGACAAAAATTTGTTTTTTTGTTGTTGTTTTAAAATTTTTATTGATTTTAGAGAGGAATGGAGGAGAGAGAGATAGAAACATCAATGATGAGAATCACTGATCAGCTGCCTCCTGCACACCCCCTACCAGGGATCGAGCCCACAACCTGGGCATGTGCCCTTCCCCAGAATCGAATCCTCCCGGGTTCCTTCAGTCCGCAGGCTGACGCTCTATCCACTGAGCCAAACCTGGAAGGGCCAAAAATCTGTTTTGTATTGTTCTGCCTGGAGTCTTGCAGTGGGAGCATGAATGGAGCCTAGAGGTCAACGGACTCTTGGAAAAGACTGACAGCAGCCTCAGGTAGGACCTGGAGCCTCTGCTCTGGGCGGGAGCCCTGATCACTGGTTAGCAATCTAAGCGCTAACGTTCCCACCGCCACTGGAAACTCAGCACCCATGGATACTATAACCCAAATGGAGGCGGCTTTGGAAGTTGGAGAAGTGGGTTCTTGTTTTTCTACAAATTTACTATATGCCTTGGGTTAAGTCGTTCAGAATGAGGCTGCAGTTCCAATGTCTGTAAAATAACTCCGAGTCCCTTTCAGTACTGAATATTACATGGGATTTGTTCTCAAGGATATACTTTTATTATTTTTAATATCTTAAATTTCTTTTTTAAATATGGAACGCTTCACGACTTTGCGTGTCATCCTTGCGCAGGGGCCATGCTAATCTTCTCTGTATCGTTCCAATTTTAGTATATGTGCTGCTGAAGCGAGCACTAATATCTTAATTTTTTTCAAAAAAATTTTTAAAAATATATTTTTATTAATTTCAGAGAGGAAGGGAGAGAGAGAGATAGAAACATCAATGCTGAGAGAGAATCATTGATCGGCTGCCTCCTGCACGCCCCCTACTGGGGATTGAGCCTGCAACCTGGGCATGTGCCCTTTACCGGAATCAAACCCAGGACCCTTCAGTCCACAGGCCAACGCTCTATCCACTGAGCCAAACTGGCTAGGCTCAAAATTTTTTTAAAAATTTATTTATCACCCTAGCCGGTTTGGCTCAGTGGATACAGCGTCGGCCTGGGGACTGAAGGTTCGCAGGTTCGATTCCGGTAAAGGGCACATACCTTGGTTGCAGGCACATCCCCAGTAGGGGGTGTGCAGGAGGCAGCTGATCGATGCTTCTCTCTCTTCGATGTTTCTAACTCTCTGTCCCTCTCCCTTCCTAGCTGTAAAAAATCAATCAAAAATATATATATAAAATTTATTTGTCAAGTACAATTGAGATACAGTGTTAGTTTCAGATGTAATGTCTTATGTCGTAAGAAATACAAATTTTACTGCTGTAAAAAAAAGTGGCTTCTCTGTTAAACATTATAGTGAATGTACTACTTTTAGGTTTCCCATGATCAGAATAAACTCAAGCATCTATTAACAATTACCATCCTTGTTCCTCTGTTCTTTTTGTAGCCAAAGTTCTGCTCTGACATTTAAGAACATGAAACCTTGACGGAATGACCAACACTGCTAGGGCTGACACTATCTTTATTGGGCAACTTACAGATCGAACGGCAAGGATGTCCCCAACAGAGAGCCATTTCAGGATGTGAAAGAGCACGTCTTCTGGGAGACTCAAGATGGTTAAGTTTCTGGGTCTTCTTCTTATTCTCCGCTTTGTAGGATAACAGAAACACTTGGCACACCTACAGTGGATCACTTAAGAAAAAAGAATCAGAATGGTCTCAGTGACGTGCTGGAAAGGAGCTATACGGAGGTGAAGTTATACCCGCAGATGACTTAACAGTTACAGCCCCCGCCCCACGAAAGGAGTCAGCCGGATTTCTAGTCCCCAACAAAGAGTTAATAAAGGAACAGTATTCTAAGGATAACAGAAGACGTCGTCATTCATTCAAATATTCAGTAAGTATGGACGGTGAATAGCCGACAATCATGTAGCCTGGCTATCGGGAAACCTTCTGACTCGGAGCCCAGATGATAACCGGGAAGGGGAACCAAGCAGCCAATGGGATGAGGTCTCTCAATGGAGCCCCCGGGACCCCTGCTGATCTCTCTGCTCCGTTTGCATACCTGACTAAGACGCATAATGTTCCATTAGGCTCCGTGGACTTGAACCACCTGGTTTTCGAGTCCAAACCAAGAGGGTCAGTTCCACAGGGACTCAAAGGCTGAACTTGCAGGACAGCTTGGTCCCCCCTCTGCCCAGTGTCCTCTCTCCCCATGGGGGGAGCGGGGGGATCATTCCAACTCCAGCAGCTCCTTCCTCATTCTAAGTAGAGGACTTGGACACTCCCGGGCAGGACCCCCTCACCCACAATTTTCCTGGTGTTTTCCATACAGCACTCCGCCCCCCGCCCCGCTCTTAACCGGGGTCTTCCCAGCCGCAGGTAACGCGCCGAGGAAGCCCGACCTACACTCAGGGGGGCCAGTTCCCACAGGTTACCTGGATTTTACCGCACCGCCCTCATTCCCTTAATGTAGGACAGACACGGAAACGCGTAGCCGCCACGGCGATAATTTCCGAAACCGCGGCAGAGCTCACAGCCTCTACAGGGAATGGGACCCGCGCGGGGCTTTCACGCGGACCTGGGCGCCGCCTGGCATTTAAACTGCGCGCCGGGCGAGTGCCGCCGGGACCCCGGGCCAAAGGGCTCGAGCCGGGCTGCGCAGTCTCGGGCCGCCAGCCCGCCGCCGCCCGCCCCCCTGCGCCCCGCGCTCACCACTGCCGCTCCCCATCGCCACCTGCACCGCCACCTCCGTCGCCTCAGTCACCTCCGTCGCCTCCGTCTAAGCAGCACCAGCCGCCGGCCAGCCCTGAGCGCACCGCCCCACGCACGCGCAGACCCGCCCCGCCGCCCGCCCTAGTTTTCAAACGCACCCAGCGCTTCCATTGGCCCGTCTGGGGGGGCGCGCGCCGCAGGGCTACAGGGCTCCGCCCTCGGCCACGCCCCGCTCGCCGGCTCCGGGCGCCCTCGATTGGCCGCCCCAGGACGCGAATTCGAACGCCGGCCGTTGATTGGCGGAGCCCGTGAAGCCTCCCGGCTCCCTGGTCCTGGCGGGGGTCTGGGAGGAGCGCGGTTCAGACTCGGCGGGCAGGGGCTTCTTCAGTCCGACTTGGGCCGCGTGGTTCCGGGCTGGTCGGTGCTTGGCCCTCGCTGCTGACTCGGCCTCAGAGTTCCCGGCCGCCGGAACCCACCGTGCGCAGTAGGTTGTCGGCGAAGGTCTGCGGACCCTGCAGGCGCGGGGTCTTGCGAAGGCCGCGGCGCAGCTGTGTCCCAGACGGGGCCGTCTACCTGTGTGGACGCGGAAGAGCCAGCGCCCCGGCATTGCGTCCAGGTGGCCCCTGACCCCCGACGCCATACGCCTACTTCCCGTTCGCGCTTCAGGCGAGGAGACCTCGGGTTGGGGACCAAGCCACTGACTGCATCGATTGTCATGGCAGAAAGTGGAATTGGAGATCTGGGCTCGAAAGCATCCACTCAGCAAGCACGTTTGGCCCCTTATTCCCCAGTAACAAGGCTCCCCCTGGGCCCTTCGTCCGTACCTGTCCCAGGACAAGCACTAACCCTCTCACCTTGACCAGGTATCTCCCCAACTCTGTCTCCAGTATCTCCTCACTGCCACCCTGGGAGCCCTTCCCGAAAGGGAAGCGCACACCTGCTTGCTTTACTCGCTGTTGCCAGCCACAGCTGGGCATTCTGTTCTCAGAGGTTAGCAGGCAGTGCCTACATGGCCTGTCTTTCAGGAATCAGCTCACCTTCCACCCCTTCCAGGAGACATTCTAACAAGGAAAGAACTGCAATCTCCGGGCCTGGAGAAGCTAAGGAACCTGAGTCATGGCTCAGACCCCTCCTCCCACAACCTCAACCAGCTGTCATGTCCCCTCCGCTCCCCCATTCCTCATGGTCCCTGAACCTCATGGTGCCCAGGCTCCATACCAGCCTGGAGCAGGAGATGGAGAAGTAAGGAGACGGATGATCTCAACAAAGGATATGAAAGTCTCAGTGGTCCCAAAATGACAAGGGGCTGAGGCCCTGGAATTTGGTGGTGGCGGAGCAGGCGGGGTGATGTGCACGGGAAGTAGAATGGATAGAGCTGAACATGCTTGGGGCCTGCTCCCCAGATGTCCCAGAGTTCTCATCCTTCCTCATACCTTTTTTCCCATTGGTTACTCTTTCCGGGGTTGTTACTTTGTCGCCCTCCTCCCCTGCCTTGTTACTTTGTTACCGGTTTTTCCCCAGGCAGAGGTACCTTCCTTCAGTGTTAGATTTTGGAAGCACCCACAAGGCACTAATAAACTGGACCCACCGATGATGGAGTCAGCTGTCATTCACCGCCCTAACTCCCCTGTCATACGACGTCACCGAGTCCAAAACCTCATCCCTGGTCACTCCGAGTTCCTCAGATGTCCTCTGTCTTGTTCGTTCTGACCGTATCGCTCTCCGTCATTCAGAAGTAAAGGTTTCTTATTTTTTCAGGAAACAGGTGTCCTCTTCTTGGCTATTCTGTAGCCATACCTTCCCTAGCCCCCACCCACTGCCCTAGCAGTAAGAGCCCCTAGGGCCCGGTGGGGTGAGAGACAGTTCCAGAAAGGTGTGAGAAGAGCCCATTTCCCATTCAGGGTGGGAGAACTCATTGGGAATGTCAAACTGTGGGGCGCTCAGGGAAGTTTCTGCTTGGAATAAGATGGCAATTGAAGGACTGGGGATGAATGAGAAAGGAATTCAAGGGTGGCAGGGTGTAGCGGGGAGAGTAAGGAAACTGAAGTAGACTGAGAACTCAAAGATCCCATGATTCAGAGAGAAAAGAACAGGAGTCTTCAGAGAAGCAGAGGAAGTGGAGAGAGGCCACAGGAGGGGTTTTCATCAGAAGGCTGCAGGGGACGTTGTGAAATGCCCTAGAGAAGTTACATGGAAAAATAAGGCAGAAACCAGTGGTGTGATAGCAAGGAGTGTGATAATGCTGTCATTCACCGCCCTAATCTTGGGTAAGTAGTGAGGGGAGGTAGGATGAGTGGGCAGGAACAGTAGATAGCACTTTCCCAGAGAAGACTGAGAAGGGAGGGAGCAAACAACCTGCTGAGGGGGCTTTTTAGAGGGGGCCAGAAGGACCCTGCTGGAGAGAGAGAGGCTGCTTGATGGAGCATCCTCATGACAGAGGTGCAAAGACACATCCGTCCACCCTCAGGCTAGACAGGGCAATGGGCTGGAGCACACGGGTCTTGCGTTCAGTGGTTCTCACACCCGAGCTGCCTCAGAAACACTTGTTAACATGGGGCTCATTTTAATGCAGATTGCTGGGCCTCATCCCCAAATTTCTGACCCAACAGGCCTGGGGTGGGGCCCTTGAACTTGCATTTCTAACAAGTTTCTGAAGCTGCTAATGCTGTGGTCAGGAACTCCACTATGAGAACCTCTGTCTGCCTCAGTCAAATGTTGCCTCTATACCTCCTGACCGTGTAAAGTTACTGAGGTCTAAATCTCAGCTCACTCATCTGGGCAATGGTATAATGATCATGACCACTTCAGGGGTTGGTGTGGGGTCACAGGTAGGCTTACCCTAACCTTTGCAGCGGCTGGGGCAGAAAGCAAATCCAGGTATGTACATGCTGAAAATTTGTGACTTAGGCTGCAAACTCATCAATCTATCTCTTCTCCTACCTTCAGAACTATGACATCTTTGCAGCCATGGTCACCCTCAGCTACTGCTCCTTGAGAGGACACGGCAGGTGTTTCTCTGAGGCCGCTTCCACAGACAGGTCTCAGTGAGGCCGCAGGCCACCAGCTGGGACTCAAGGGAATGGTTTTCTATTGACATACACCTGGATTCTCCACTAGGCCTTCAAGGCAAATGGCCTCAGTCTGGCAGAGAGCCACCCTAGCCTTCCGCCCTTGAGCTGGACTCACTGGGACCACCAGCTGCCTGTGTAATCCTTGCAACCTATGGCAGGGTACGCACACCTGGGCTAACCTGGCACTGGGAAGTTTATTTTTAAAAAATATATGTTTTTATTGATTTTTGGGTTTTTTTGAGAGGAAGGGAAAGGGAAAGGAGAGAGAGAGAAAAAACAACAACACAAAAAACCATCGATGTGAGAGAGAAACATCAATTGGTTGCCTCTCGTCTGCACCCTGACCAGGGATCAAATCCGCAACCTGGGTATATGCCCTGACCTGGAATGGAACGGACAACCTTTCGGTGCATGGGATGACAACCAACTGAGCCACACCTACCAGGGTGGGAATTTTTTTATTGTAGCAAGACTGTGAGGGAAGTGGGGAGGGAGGTGGTGGTGATAAGAGGCCTGCTGGCTCTGCTTGCCCTGGTTTTCCCCCTTGGGTTGGGGGCCCAGGGCAGGTGAAGCTCAGGAAGACGCCCTACAGGGAAACCTGGCTGACTGAGTAGTCATCTAGCATGTACTTCTTGGCTTTCTCCAGAGTGTTAAATACCTACAGTGGATGGTAGGCACCGGGGAGGGGGGAGGAGACAGCAGAGGGTGGAAAGAAGGAGGGTCCTTGAAGTTGTGATAAGGCCCCCAAAAGGCCCATCCCTCTTTCAGCTGCCCCCAGAGCGCTCCCAGCACGTCAGTCCTACAGAATTCAGCTGTCTGCCATCTCGGGGACCCTGGTTGGGAATGGTGCCAGGAAGCAGAGGTCCTGGCGAGCCCCTGGCTTGCTGTACAATGCTGGGTATGTGGCGTTCTCTGTCTGGGCCTGCTACCCTCTCTGTGAAATGAGGAGGAGCTGATCTCCAAGGTCCCTTCCAGCACAGACATCTAATGTTCTATGAAATCCATATGAACACTGCCATGGAGACATCCGAGAGGAACTGCAGCAGCACTGAACGTGATTTCCACCCGAAAGAGAAAACACCGGAAAGCGGGTGACATCAGAGCTGCGCTCCCTCCAATGCCCAGGTATATGCTCACCTTCACCCAGCTGAGAGCATTGCCAGGCAGGTGATAACAGGCCATCCCTTGGTGCTCATCTTCCAGGACACTGCCTGCACGAAGGAGAGACCGTGTCCCCACGAGGGCTGGGCTGGAGGGCCACAGCAGGGTGGCCTGGGCCCACAGAATCTCAGTCTTCATCCTAGGGGCCAGGAATGCGGGACTTGGCAGGGGTGAGGCACAGATGCCCTCTGTGTAGTGTCGCACACCTGGGAAGGTCAGGTCCACAAATGCCTTGAACTCCTGCAGCGCCTCCTGCTGCCTGTTGGTTCTGACTTTGGTCCACAGGGAGTAGCCACAGCCAAACTTGCTCTTGAGGTGCTGGGGGCTGCCCAGGCACTTGATGCCAGCCGGGTGCACAAGGCCTCACAGTCCTCCATGCTGGGGAGAAGGAGTGGGGGCCTGACATCCTTTCAGCTGCCCCCAGAGCACTGTCACCTGTATGAGCACTCCCTGGGGGAGGGATGGGTATGCTGACATCTACCCTCTGTGTCAAACGCTGAATGTCAACACCCAGATCAGGCTGTTCCTGAGTCCCATGCTCAGAGTGTGGCCCACATGCTAGAGCCTGGGGATTCTCCTCACAGATTCTATTCCAACTGATGTCAGGTCTCTGCCTATGCAGTCCCTCCCAGCCTATTCCTCCCATAGCCCCCATCCCAGCTCATCCATCCACCCACAGAGCCCTGAGCTCTACCTATGGGAGGTGATGACGATGGCCTTGCAGGTCTTACAGACCCTTGCCACAGTTCCCCAGAGCAGGCACTGGACCACAGGGTCCATGCCAGTGGATGGCGCTCATCCAGAAAGGTGACCACAGGCTCTCCCAGCAGGGCAATGCCAGTGCTCAGCTTCTGCTTGCTGCCACCGCTAGGAGCAG